ACAAGCCCCAGTGGCCTCTGTCTTGCTCTCCAGCATCGCCAGAGGGGTTAAGACAGCATTGAAGAAGGTCCCCAAGTGTCAAGAACAATCATTCCCAGTGCTATGGTCTACATTACTGCTGGAAATGAGGACCCAACCAGTCATGTTGTGAAGAATAGGAGAAACCAACCAGAGTGAAGCTGCTGTTACGACCTGCAAGGTTCTCAGGGTCGGGGCCCCGGGATTAGAGAGGAAAAGGGCCCCTGCCTCTCAGTGGAGACCCCCAAACTGGCCTCCTCCCCGCTCACTTACACACGCAGCCTGGCTTCTTAGCCGACCACTGGTTATTCTTTTGGCACGTGATTGCCTTCTGCCCCACCAGCTCAAAGGCAGGCTGGCACTCAAACTTGAGAGTGTCACCGTGGTGAAAGCGGGAGCCTTCCCTCTGGCCATAGGCAGGTACACCAGGATCACCGCAGCTGCCCTGCTCGATCTCTGAAAGACAGGAAGGTGAGAAAACAGAGACGAAAGGTGATTTCACTCCTCTCGTGGAGCTGGAGGTCCATATGATACGCCCTGCAGCTCCCCTGCCATGAGTCAGTGATCAGAGTGACACAGGTAGGATCTTTAATGAGAAATCCTGCATGTCCCGTTTAAATGCAGCAGCCAAGGAAACAGATATCAACAATGTCTGGAGACATTTTTGGTTGTCACAACTGGCAAGGGGTGGTGTTACTGTCTTCTAGTTGTGTACAGGACAGGGATGCTGCTAAAATATCTTGTCATACATAAGACTGCCCCCCACAAAAAGGGTTATCTGGTTCAAAATCTCAGTAGCGCTGAGGTTGAGAATTCTGGTGACCTTGTGACCCAATCCACTATTTTGCTCAGCTATGGGTGTCTGTGTGTCTGTCCAGGAGGAGGGGATGGGGAAGAACTCAGGGAGGAAGAGCCAGGAAGTAACTAGGAGAGGACCATTTCCTACAGCATCCTTATGCAGAACATTCTCTTTTACCTCCCAACTCTTCAAGGCTTGGTTCAAACTCTGAATCCTCTGCAACATTTTCCTTGAGCACCCACTTCTCCCTCTCTTGGTCTCTCAAGATTCGGCTGCCGATTTGTAACTTGTGCTGTATACATCCCAGGAGGCCTTGCCTTCACATTTCACACATATGCCATATACATTAGAAACCGAGCAATTAGGATTCACACCTTCTCATGGTGGTTTGCAAC